TATTTTACTTAAAAGTAGAAACAAAAATGTATTTTAGATTTCCAGTTAATACCTGTGGACCTTTGCTTGAGAAAAACCTTCTGTAAATGCACTAAATTTTGTTTGGCTGCCACTGAACCAGGAATTATTTACCACACTGAGAACTTATGAGTGGTCTTCAAAACCACCAGAACTATTAACACTGCCCCCCTCTGGCAATCATTTTCAAACTGATGAATCAGAAATTTACTATAAAATCAAAAACTAATGTATAAATAAATAAAAATATTAAAGAATAAACTTGTATGAAATTAGACTTTTTTCCCCCTCCAACATTTACATAAACTCACAGGAATTGCAACAATTTAAACTGAACACAATCTATTAACTGCTCGCCACTGAGCACCATTTGAACATTTGACCTTCTGGCACGGCTCATGACATTATGTTGACATTTAAAGCAATCCCTCCCATGATTCCCCAGTGGCCGCAGACTGCCCTGACCCTGCCTGAGCTCCAGCCCTGTCTATGCCCTCACCACACACTGACAGAGACGCTACAAGGAGACAAACACATGTGAGACTCAGGTGAGAGGTCACATGGGTTCAGCTCACACAATAAAAGCTTGTGATCAATCATTCAGCTCTGAAGATCAGACTGAAAATTAAACCGTTTGTGAAAAATACGTCCCAGAGGTCAGGTAATTAGTGTAGAAAGTCATAAGAGGTGCAATTTACTGAATGCTGCTCTTTTATGAGAAAATCTGTCTAGTCAACAGGAAATTTTTTATGCCTATTCTTGATTTCCCTTCAAGCTTTGTGTGTCAGCATGTTCATTTTAGCAACAGATGTTATCAAACTAATTCTTTGAATCCTGGTATCTCCTTTTTTTTTTCCCAGCTGGAGCAACATAATGTGGTTTTGTCAAACTAATTTACCTGTCACAGTCAGGGAAAAGTTGCACTTGGACAAAAGGCAGATAAAAAGTGATGAAATCAGGAGTACAAGATGACAACCCATTTATTTAGTAATACATTATGCAAACTAGAAATTTTATTCAAACTTCAATGGATTAAAAAAAATGAAAGAAAGGGAGGCAAGAATGAGAAAATTTTAGGAGCAGGGAGAAAAATGCATCTATTCACAAGCAAGGAATGCAATTTGTTCAATCGACAACACAAAATACAATTTAGTTTAGGGAACAAAGCTTTTTTTTTAACTTTTTTTCTGCCATTTCTTTGGAGCTAAAACATAATACAAAATATACAGTTATTGAACTTTGTAAAATCACTCACAGAGGCCTCTGAGAAGCATTTGAATCAACATTGACAATACTTAACTACAGCACTCTAAAGCTATTCTCGTATGTAATCATAAATAGAGCAGGTATACTGATGTATGTATGCACATCTTGAATGCTTACAAGGTTACTATGTTAAAACACTTGCATTTCTTAAAACGTATGACATCATTTGCTGTGGAAATTAAATAAGCCTTTAAGACCGAGATTAGATACAGTGACAGTGGAAAAACATTGTACCTTGTGACAGCCAGGACAAAGTCACTGTTAATATTAAGTACCTTTTAAAAAATAAAAAAGAATAAAAAGGTTTTCAAATCGATAAGAGCGTAATGTCACCAGCATTACTCGTTATAGTGTTTTGTTGGGCAGGAACTTTAGGGGGCAACATGGGTAAGGCAAATCGGTGAGCTTATTTACGAGCTGACAAAGATTAGCGAAGTGAGGCTCGGGTCGCCCTGTAAGGGGGACGGATACACCACCACTGCTAAGGGTCACACAGTAAACACCTCGACTGAGGTATATCAATATCTACATGAGGGCGTAAGCATTTAAAATATCTAACCTCTGCTAGGTAGTCCTCCGTAAAAGAATATACAAGACGCATTTCAGAAAAACTCAAAAGTAACTCTGTAAATAGCTTTATTATTTTTTTCTATAATAATAATAATAAAAAAGCTGATTAGACAGATGATCAGTGCATATGACTTGTCATTTAGTCACACACCAATCAGCTACAACAATAAACCCATCTCTACAACACATTTTGAGTCCTGACTTTTTATGTAGATGTTACTTTGGCACGATCTAAACATGACTGCAGACCAAGCACGCTTTTAGTTAGCACCAGTTCAGGATAAGCTCGAGAAACATGAAACAAAAATAAAATAAAATCAAAAGGTGCTGACCCCATTGTAACTCAGGGATCCTCTACCAGCTCTTCTATGATGTAAAATCAAGGAAATGGGTTTTAATGTTGTGGCTGATTGGTGTGTTTTCCTCACGTTTCTAAAAACCCTGAAGCCTTTATACAACTGCAGAACTGAGTGAAGTGTCTCGTATGTTAAAACAGGTGAAAAGGCGGCAGGTACTGATAGGCAGCTTACGGGGTAAAGCTGATAGTGTTTCTATAATCGCTAAAAATATGCTGTCATTTGCAGGAGCTTCCCTAAAAACATCATTTCATCAGAATCGGTACAATTAAACACTGTAGCTACAAGCAAAAATCTGTTTAACAAAACAAAATAAATGGAACAGCACTCTTTAAAGCAAACTGCTTAAAACACTTCCTATAGAGATCATGAGGTATTTAAGTTCATTAAAAACTATATACTGTATTTATGATTGGGATTTGTTCATTTCAAGAAGACAGTGGGGTTGTTTACAAACTCCTCTCTGAACTTGAACATAATTTCAGTAACATGCATTAGAAAAAACATTTGTTTTTGCTAACATTCCAGTTAGACCAAATTTCCCACATTGTGTTTTTCTGTGGAATGAGTCCATTATATAAAAAAAAGAATTAAATAAAAAATGGGTAAAAAATATATTTTAAGGGTTACATAATTTATTTTAAATTATCTCTGGCAAAATTGCAAGACATGCCATGATTATTCTAAATCACCCAACATGCAAACAAACAAATAAAACATGTTTGTTCCTCTTTGAGCTTTAAGGAAAAATAAAAAAAAGAAAGGAAAAAAAAACATGAAATTAACATCCGCCAAGTTTTTAAGGAGCAGTTGAACGTTAGAAAAGAACCATAGTTCACTTTTGCTACAAGCTGTTCAGTACAACATAAAGAGCTGCTGAACTGAAACAAGAAAACAAAAACAGCATTTTTTGTGTATACAATTAAGTTTTCTTTGCTCAAACACAGTAAACAAGTCCAACTACTTTACATGATGTTAGTACAGAATCTATACAAGTCTGAAAGTAAGGGAATTTAAGTATTTTTGTTGAAATTAACTTCTTATTAAGGGGGAAGCTTCGACCCAGAAAAACTTCAGTTTTTTCCACGTTTTGTTGAATTATTGGTTAAAAGGTACTCTATGGTGTCTTCACTGCAATGAAAATAATACATTCAACATTTAAGAAAAATGCTATAAAGGCCTATTTAACAAATACATTTCGACACCTTTTTGTTTCTTGACTTGCTCAGCACACATCTCCCACTTGTTAATATCCACTCTAGCGCCCCCTGCAGACCATTAGAAGAAGTTTTATGATAAAACACTTGTCCTGCAAGTTTATCCTTGAGTGTGGAGCTTGTTTCTCCACACCAAAACTAGCAGTCAAAAACACCACAGAGTACCTATAACAGCCAAGACAAAAATCTAAATTTCTGCTTATTTAAAGGTTTTTTTTATAAACTCGCATTTTGCAAGGGGAGAGCAATGTTGTTGTTTTTTTTACTTTGTCAAAAAGGAGGGGTCTTTGGCATTTTTGCCATAAAAGCACATCAGAAAGCAGCTTTAGGAATAAAGTTATTCTTTTTTTTTTTTACAAGACTGGTATGTACCCATTACAAATCTAAATGAGGTGAAATAGCTAGCATTGTCTTTTTGATAAATCAAGGATTATAAATTTAGTACAATATTACTCTGTAGTACATAAATGAAACAGGAAAACAAAAAGATTAGAAGGAATAATTGTTAGCCAATCATCAAGAGACAAACCAATATCACATTTTGGCCATGGAAATAAAATTAATTCAAGCAAAATTATTTATTCCTCAAAAGAATTAGGTCAGAAATATACATACATAAATGTCCATAACAATAACAAGACAAAAACGGCAGAAAATTAATCTGAAATAAAACAATTTCTCTTTAAGAAATACATCTAATGTGTTAAATACAGATTTAGTAAGTGACCATGTTTTCTGGGAGGGGATATTAAAAATAAAAGTTAACTCACAGATCACACACTATAGCAGCAAACTTGTGCTGTGGATAATATTGTGGAAGAGGAGAAATTTAGGAGTCACAAACCTTATGGGAATAAAAAGGTGCTACACAAACAGGAGAACACGTTTGTTCTTGCTTTAAATGTCTCGAAAAATAGTCTCAGATCCAAACGTTTCTACAATGTTATTCTGAGATTTAGTTTAAAATAGTCAGTGCTTCAACTCTTCACCTCATAATGTGAGACAAATAACTTAAAATGTATATTTGTACCAAATACAAAAAATGACTAAAATTGGCTTAGGCTGTAATAAAGCTGAAAATGTGGTTAAAAACAAAAACAAAACAAAAAAACAATATGGCACCAACAGTGGTCTTGTACATTTAAAAAAAAAAATCATATTTTTAAATAGGACACAATGTATGAGTGAATTAGTCAACAACTGACCAGCTGCAAAACATTGTACACCACTGATAAATTCAATTATGTGCCAACTAGGATTAATTTAAAGTTCCAACACTTAACAGCATCTATAATTTATTTTATCCAAGGCTGTTTTGGGGGGTTGGACAGTCTTTGTAAAGATAAGGATGGAAGTGGGGGTAGAACGGGATGGACTTAAAATCCATCATCTTAAGTTGTCTGTATGCAAACGGACTGATCTGCCTTTCCACTGAAACACGTGCRCTCACACAAGCACCCATACACTATTGCAAGTATCTTTTTGCACAAGTGTGTTGACATAGGGCCCATCAACAAACATTGCTGAAAAATGAGTAAACAAAATAAAATAAAGGTTTGATTTTTCCACCTTATACTGTCAAATTACCTTTATTGTTTGAGCATCTACAGAAAACTGAATTAAAACAATAAAAACTGGGAAAAATAATTAGGATTTATGTGGTTTGATATAGAGAGCTTACTGTGCTGTGTACTATACAATTTACCCGTTTCTTAAGAGCATAGGCTGACTGGGGAGGAAAACAAAAAAGTGGAAAAGAAAAATAATAAAAGTAAAAGCGCAGAGACATTGTGCCTGGAGGACAAGCAGTAATATTCACTGAATAAACATTTGAATTCCAGAAGAGCAGGAAAAGGCAGATAGTGCATAAAAAGTTCTCTTTTTTCCCCCCATTTCTTTCATTTTTTTCCTTTCTTTTTTTTTTTTTACTTAAAATCAAGCTGCGTTAAATACAGGCTGTTTGTACAGGACAATTGCACTTCACAAAAACAGAAATATACAAACACACAAGGAAATGTGAATCAAATTAATTACAGCAACAAAAAATATATACTATTTAAGCGGATTATTTAACAAAAAGAAAAACAACTTTGTGGACTCACTTGTTGAGGATTACTTTAGAGAAGAATATTAAGGAGGGTGAACAAAAAAGGGAGACAAGACGGTGGGGATCCTGAACTCCAGAGTGGACTGGTGCTGCACTACTCCAGGTTTGTGTGCATGCAACTCCTCCTCCTCCTCCTCCTCCTCCTCCCATGAATTCCCTTCTTAGAAACCAAAAGCTCAGAGTGACGGAGAGGCAGACTGCTGAGCTGAGCTGCTGTGGGTCTTGAGAGGATGGTGGTTTGTAAACTCTATGCTGTGTTAGTGGTAGGAGGTTGTGTTACCACATGTCGTCTGTGGATGCAGAGTCCTTGATAAAAACAAAGAAGAGGAAGGAAAAACCCTTCAGACTAAAACTATAAACCCACCCATCGAAAGCTGCACAGGTTTCAGTATGTCTGATATCAACTAAAGAACGAACAAGAGTCACAACACCTCTCATCCAACATATCCAGCCTAAGTGTAAATACTGCAAATAATCAATGAAATCTATAAAAATTCTAATTATTTACGAGATGTATCCTTTTCAAGTATGAAACTTTCAATAAAAATAGCAAAACACTGCAAGAGTGATATGAAACATTTGCCTAAAGCTTAACATGATAACCACTTTTTAAAGCCCTTTTTTTGTTTTTTTAAAAACAAATCCACTACTGCTTATGCACATCTTTTATCAGTACGAAAAATATATATTTTAACAAAAAACTCAAGAAAATTATTTAAAAATAAAAAATGGTGCATAATTATTCAAAAAGCTGGACAGTTTAGGATTTATAAATAATTCCTAGGAACAGAACATTTTTGCAAATTGATATCTGTAGAAATTTTTGGTTTGATTAAAACTTGTATTTGATTGATAACAAAGCTGAAGAACTATGCAGCAGCTCATAGTCCTAATTTATTCGTAGTACTGAATCATTTTAGTACACAAAGGGTAAAATAGTATTCAACAACATACAGTAGCTGGACTGTTGTTTTTGAACCTTTATTGTGGACCTTAAAAGTATTTATTTTTTCTTTTTTTTAATTTTTTGTTTGTTTGTTTCTTCTAAAATCATTAATTTGTCAGTTTCACAAACCCTGCCTTTAGACTAATGCTTTACTTTAACCAAAACAAACCTGCTGATTGTGTTTTTGTGTGAAGCAGTTGACTGGAGAGATTTGTTAAACAGCACATAAACACCTGAAGGGTGACATAAAAGCTGCCAGAGATGTTTCAATCTAGTCCCTGTGTACTCAAAATTTCATTATTGTGATTGGGCTTGTTCAGAAAAATTGCCCCATATTCTGTGTTAAAGTGTACAACTCCTGACTATTATTGTCCTCGCTTTGTTGTCAACCATAAAGGAAAAAAAAAGTTGAATTCAAAGAAAATGCTTTAACAGTTTAGCTGTGATTATTTAGGGTCTAGACGTGATCATTTCTCTCAGACACATAGTGTGTAATACCACAGAGTTTATTACAGATAAAGAAACATGTTTTACTGGTTAACCTGCAGCCACTGAAGTCTTTAAATGGTTGGCTGTTTCCTGATTATGTCAGACATCTTTTTGTAGAGTTTTGGTACGTTGAACCTAAAACTGTACTATAATTTCTCTTCAGATTTTAAAATGTGCAACAACAATTTCTCAACATCTTTGCCTTAAAAGAGATTTCTACTTGATGTTCCAAGATGTTTACTAGAATTTAAAACAATTACAGAGCTTTACAAGACTGAGCAGGTTTGGTTACAGAAAAACTAAAAACATACAAGAGAAAGCAAAAAGGTTTTCTGTCAAACTAAAAAAAAATTAAATAAACCAGACCAGATTAACAAGTTAGACTATGCCTATGAGAATCAGGAAATAAGCATAACAAAAGGAAACTATTTTTTTTCTTTTTGGTCTTCACTTAAATAAAAATATATACAAAATGAAATAAATATTAAAATGAATGTGAAATGTATCAAGCATTGTTCAGATAAATTTGATCTCTGAGGCAAATTTCATCATCAGCTATAGAGCTATTCATTAAAATTTCTATTTCTTAAAGTGAAAAACTCCACAGCATTGGGCAATTATCCACAAATTAATATAAAACAATTAAACTAATTCAAAACGGGCATGAATATTAAAAATGGCCTATTCAGAGCTTAGTTGTTTATTTTCAAGGACTGAGCTAGATGAAATAAAAATATTAAGTTATCAAAATTAAAGCAGTACAAAAGCAAAGAAGTCCCATCAGGACAAATTTTCAGTTTTTAACATTTTCTACATATCCAGACAAGAAAAGGCAAAAAATAAACTGAACAGCTAAAATATTTGCACGGTGGCTGACACAACTGGAGGTGTAACGAAAATGATTCTGCCCACAAAGAGGTAAGAAGACAAAAGACTGAAAAAACCTGTTTCACCAATAAAGTAATTAAATAAGTAAAACACAACACGTGTAAGAAAGGCTGTTGTACAATAGATTGCACAAACAGATTTAGCAGGTAACAAAGATAAAAAGAAAAAAAGCCAAATGAATAGTTGCATTCCACAGACAGATAGAGTCCAGGGTTGTTAACTCTGCAGTCAGCAATCAATAACAGGTCTTAAATTAATAAATAAAATTAAATAAATCTGCTTTTAAATGAAGAAAAAATTACTTATTGTCTTTGTACCAGAGTGCTTCTGAAACCAAATACAGTGTCAATTTACTCACTCTGAATGCCATTACTTTGGCCTCCAGTGTTGATGTTAGGAACCCTGGAGATGTTTTTTTAAACCAGATTATGTCCTTTAAATCACTGATAAATCAAGAAAAAAAACAGCAACTGACTATGAGCAAGAATCATTTGAAAAAGCTGGCATGCAAAGATGCAGCAGCCACTTGTGAGCAAGAGAAAAAAACAAAGTTCTTGTTCACGTGTGCTAAAATACAGTGGAGGGTTGTTGCTGGAAATCAGGAGCAACCTTCAACTGTTTGTGGAAGATTAAAGACATCTCACTATGGAAGAGAAAAGAGATAAACACCCAATCAGCTGGAAAYGACCAGCTGACTCGATGCTCAGAAAGTGAGTGCTAGGAGACCAAAAGGAGGCAAGAGCTGGACTCAAATAAAAGCTAATCAGCAGAAAGGGTATCTCCAATACCGCAGATTTCTCTAAACTTGACCCCTGTCAAACTCTGTAGGTTCAAATTGAGGGTGAACAGAAGTGATGTATATCTCACTGTATTATTGTAGCAAGACTGAGGCCAAGACTGCCAGCTGATGTCACCATCAATAATCTGCTGCCACATAAACTACAATGTAGGTCCTTTTCTCACAACATAAACAACAGTTTATCCACTGGGACAAAAACGATGTCGCCCTACAAGGCAGGATATATGATTTTTGAAAAAAATTATAAAAACAATTTAAACATAAAAGTGGCCAAAACTATTGTTAATCATATAACAAAACTTTAGAGTTAAGGAGTAATCAGTACAGAAGGTTCTAACAATGAGTCACTAGCTACGTTTACATGGACATGGGTAATCAGATTAACAGCCATTCGGAATAAAAATGAGTCATGTAAACACCCTATTTGGATTATTCTGACCCGATTCAGCTCGATCCGAATGAATTTGTAATCGGAATGTGAGAGGTGGTTTATGCCAATTGATAATCCGAACAGTGTGCATGTAAACACTTAATCTGATCATTTTATTCTGAGTGTGGAAAACTGACCAGACTGTGCATGTCTTCTGTCTTTCATCCACAGGCTTCTGTTATTTTGAGGAGGGAGGGACAGCAGCGCTGTTTCCAGCAGCACTGAACTTTTCCTCCCATTTTCTCATTCAATAAAGAAGGAAGACAAACAGCCTGCGCCGCTTCGCAAAAAAATAAACAAAAATAAAAAAAATAAAAAGTCCATCTGTCTCCTGTAGCTTAACCAGGGAGTAACGTCTCCAACATTATTAAAAGTTGTCGTAGGTCCATTCTGAGCTCAGAAGATGTTTGTTTACGTCCACGACGAAAGTAAAACACTTTTCTGTGTTTTCTTTTTTGTTTTTTTTTTGGCGGGGGGAGTTAGCAACTGCGCATGTCAGTGCCTCTGTTCTGAATAAAAGCCTGGTGCGTGTAAACACTCGTCATGATCGGATTGAGGCATGTAAACGATACATTCCRATTATTTAATCCGAATACATTTCAACCCATCATAGAATTTTGCACATGTAAACATAGCTATTGAGAAGTTTGAATGTTTAAATAGACTTCAGGAGTCCACTAACAGCCGAATGTAGCTTATTCTGTATTTTAAGTTTCATATATAAGTATGAAATTAACAGTTTTTAAATCTCAAAGATAATGGGGGCATCCAATGAAATTGTTGCTAACACGATAAACTACCTGCAACTTTAAAAACACATGACATTTAATTGAACAGAAGCAACATTTTCTTGGTCTGTTTGTTCAAAGACATCTGATTAACTATTAACTATGAAGAGTACGTAAAGTCACATATTTATTTAGACAAAAATGACTAAGACATATTTGTTCCTTTTAAATTAAGATCAAAAACTAATTCAATTCAATTCAAAATTCAAAAATACTTTATTGATCCCTGAGGGAAATTAGGTTAAAAAATTTAAATTAAATTGAGGAACAAGATGAAATCTTTTTAGCACAAAAACTATTATGTTTTTAACCTTGTCAAAATTAAACCAGTTTTTATTTGACTAAAACTAGTTAAGAAAATCAACTGGGATTGTTTTGTTGTTGCAGAGTCAATCCTTAATCATACAACATTATCTCAATTTGCAACAAACAACTAATTTTATTGTTCTGAATGCAAACGCATGCATTAGATTTTTTCATATTTGCTCATCACACATTAAAACCATGCATACTTCAACTAAAGCAGGCCAAAAAACATTTAAGAAACAGTTCACTACTTACAGTGTCATCACTTCGGTATGGGTTAAGTTTGTTGTACACCGCCTCAATAACACTTCGTCTGAGTACAGAAACAAGTGTAAAGAATAATTACTTTTAGTTGTATTAAGAATTTTAACAATTTCAGTAATAAAGGCAGCAATAATTGGAGGAACAACTTCCTAATGTCATAGTAAGATTGTGATATTACTACAAAAGTCACTTACTTGCTTGCCAGTTCTCCACCTGGAGGAAGGTTTGGGATGCTCTCAGATGCTAACGTCCGCATAATATTAACCAAATCCGGAACACCTTCCGGATTTTTGATTATCTCTGTAAGAAAAAACGTAGATTTATTTAGAATGTTTTAAAATAATTTTACATGCAAAATGTGATTTTGTACTGACATACTGAAAAAGCTTGGTTATCGTTGAAAGATTCAATTTTGATCACAATGAACTTTGTAGACCTGCAGGTCATTTATGTTTGTTTTGACATTCATACAAAATGACAGAATCTGACACTACAATAAGAGAGGCTGCTGGTTTAAGTCATTTTGTCTAATGAAAACCGTTCTGACGCTTCGTACTCGATATTCTTGAGATAGACAGGAAGTCAAACGAGACCAAATACTACTTCTAAAGGCCCTGTCACACTAGACAACTCATGCCAACTTATGGACATTTTAAAGACATCTAAACTGAAGATGGAATTTTAAAAAATCTACAGGAAGCTTCTTTTTGGCACATAATGTAATTCAAACAAATTGATCAAATACAGTATATAACTTGTTAGCAATTTAGACATAAAAAATGTTTCATAAGTTGGCATAAGTTGCCTAGTGTGACAGGGCCTTTAGAAAATTTTGGATGGTAGAACAGTTGACTGACATGGATTAAATTAAATTAATTTATTTGTTTAGGACAATGTGCAATTAAAACATAAAAACATTTGATGCATTGCACCAGATTTAGCCTAAGACTAATTTACATCAAATTATAGGTTTACATAGTTCTTGTTTATCTTTAATAATTAAACATTATTAAGTACAAGAGTTTGATACATCAGTTTTATTTAGGGGTGCACCAATAAATCGGTTAGCCGATTTATCAGCCTTGATTACCTTAATTTTGGTAGATCTGCAAATGGCTGATCCTTACACGAAAACACGATATTATCCACCAGTCTTAAGGCCCTGTCACACTAAAAAWTTTTAGACAACTTTTGAAAATTTTGTTATGACTATTTTACTCATATCAGCTACATATTGAATTAAATTTTAGCATTCAGTATGTATATGTCTGTATATGTCCAAATGAGGCTTCCAGTATATATTTTTTAATTCCATCTTCAGCTTAGACATCTTTAGTGTTGGACAAACTTTTCGTAAGTTGTCAAAACATTATGGTGTGACAGGGTCTTTATCTATCTCCGCAAATATCTGAAAATAAGCCACTGTCCCCTTTTTCTCTGCTGTGAGCACTACCTCATGTCCAGTTGAAACAAGTTTGTATTGTTTCAAGGGTATTCTTCAATGTTTTTCAGTAAAATACGATTGGAACATTGAAGGTGTATTGTGACCTTATGAGACCTGACCGTGTCAGTTATCTAAAAAATTGGTCCGGCAAGTCAGGCTTTTTTAAATTGGCCAGAAAACTGCAGTCGGTGCACCCCTAGTTTTAGTATTGCAATCTTGATGTGAAGATTAAATATGAAGTTATCTTTTGTGTTTGTATACAAGTGAATACAGAAAAAAGAAAAAAACAGATTCCAAACTAGCTTCCCCCAAGCCCAGATGATAGGTGATTAAAAACAAATAAAATGSTCATTTAAAAAAGCTGTTCTCCTCCAGGAAAATGCATTTTCTCTTCTCTTACCTTCTACTCTGCCCTCGAGATAGTTGTCCAGCTCAGCCTCTCGTTTCACTGCTTCTGGAGAAACTTTTGGAGCCCCAGGAAAGCAAATTAACACAACACTCATATTGTCACGGCTTCCCTGTGGACAAACAAAGAGCAATCAATGCAACAATGTAAATCAACTCTAATAACCATCATTGTAACTACATAATATCATTACAAGTGCTGTGAGACTGTTATACCTTGTATAAGCAGGTGTCGACAATTTCATTGCTGACTTTTTCAAGATCCTCTGTAACCTCTAGCCTTGACCTCACAAAGTCACAGAGTTCCTCGTTAGCCATGACATCCCAGATGCCATCACAAGCAAGTATTATGAATTCATCTTCCCCGTCACATCTTTCTATTGCATACACTTCGGGCTCTGGAGAAACAAGCTGCTCTGTTGGGCCTTTTCCATGAACACATTTGTAGTCGAAGTCTCCTAGAGCTCTTGAGACAGCTAGAGACCCATTAACTCGCTGGATCATAACTGAACCACCGGCATTCTGGATTCTCTCCTTCTCAAGGGGGTTGTTGGGTTTGTGATCCTGTGTGAAGAAGTGCACAGCTCCCCCCCTGCTGAGAAGACCCCGAGAGTCCCCACAATTGATAAAGTAGATATGGCTCGGAGAAATCATCACCCCTACTGCAGTGGAGCCGCTGCGGTCAACACCATGCTTCTTCTCAGAGATGGTCCGCATGTGTTCATCAATCTGCAAGAATCCTGTGCGGATTCCATTCTTCACGCTGTCTACATTGTTTTCCTCCTGTAGAGCACTCTGGAAGTCTGGGTTGGTAGTGATGTGTTCCAGGAGGTGCTCACAGCAGTATTTGGCCACCTGTGAGCCGGCATGCCCGTCGTAAACRGCAAAAAATGACCAGAGCTCGAGACCATGAGGCAGGCCAATTACTGCTGTGTGTGCATCCTCCATTTCAACCCTCCAACCCTGCATGCTGCTCAGCCCATACCTTAGGTTGTTACCATCACCATGGGAATTGTATTTTTCCATCTTTGGTTTGTCCAGAAATGCTCCCATTGTGTCTCTTTAACAACCTGCAACACAAAATAAGAAAATTTGTGCTGATAAGAAACATTTTTTTAATAGTGATATGCAGGAAAATGTCTTCCATTATTTACTTTGGTTCTAATGTTGACAGATTTAAGCACACACATGTCAGCCCTGTGCAAAATGTTGTACTTTTGTACTGTTATTTTTCACATTTGATGAATGAGTCAGGTTAGACCCCCTCCCCCCAAACACACACAAAAAATCTTAAAAAGGATCAAACTGAACTAATATAACCAATAAAATGCATCTGAATATAATTTTAGTGTTTGCCTGTTTTAACGATATAATTATTCTAATTTCAGCAACCGTGTGTAAATATATCATGTTACAACCATTCAACACTCTGGTTTTAACTTTTTTAATTAAACATAAGCCCACTGAGCAAAAGGTAGCTGCAGCAGGTGCAGGAAAGTCAGTAGCGAGAAAACAGTCACAACACTGCAGTAACACAACAAACACAAAATGTGAAGCAACATTACATGTGCACAAACATCTACATGCCACATATTTACATTGCTACCATGCAGCAGTTCAGCAATTTACATGCAAAGCACACACAGCTGGCATTTGGTAAATACAACGTTCACTCTTTTAAATCCTACTGTTGTAAATAAGAGGTAAATAAGAGGCCTTTCAAACTTTCTAAATAAATGATTTACATGTAAACGGGATGTCTGAGAAACTGAGTTACAATGCACATTTCTACAAAATCAGCTGTTCTTCAATCTGCAAAAAAAATGTTTATTTGTGTTTATGTGCTGCCAGCTTAGAGACATGTGCAGTTATTTAAAATATACATCTCAGCAACCTCCTACGTAATAAACAACCACAATGTATGAGAAAATACTATGAGTTGCATTCTGCTAAACAATATTTGCTAAAGTTTTTTGTTTGGCGTATTCTGCCACATGCAGTAAAAAAAGGTGGAATGTCCGAAATACATTATTTAGTTTGATTTGATTTTATTTAAACACACAAAAAATAAAAAAATAAAAAAGAACACAACAACAATTCCAAACGACATATTTCACGTGCAAGGGAAGGGTAAATAGTTTTTTTTAATTTGCCTGTGAACTGGCTCAGTCCTGGAGAATTACTTAAACTTAAACTATTCAACAATTAATACTAAAAAAAAATATTAAAACCCACACAATTAAACATGGTTTCATTAACTGGTTTGGGAAATAAAATTTAAAAAAGCTGTCCAAAATTGAGTTTTCAAGTTAGATGAGAGAGAAACAACAACAACTGAATAAGTCCACCACATAAACATTTAAATATTAACTGAGTTAAAACAGATATCACATCTTCCACCCATTTGTGGCACAAGATAAGCATCTTGGAGCTGGGTTCAGACCCCGGCTCCTGTCTAAAAATAGTTGACCTGAGTACACATTATGGCTACTTATTAGGAACGTTACACGGTGTTCAACGAATTGAAACATCTCAAAATTAAATACTTAAATTTTACATTCAGTGTACAGGCAGATACGAAATAAGGCCTTTACTTGTATTGTGATATACCAACAAACAGACCTTCGCGATTCTGAACACCTTGTAAGACTAGATATAGCTACTTAACTAACCAGTTTCTCGATTACCACTTAAAAACAAAGTCTTAAATCCTACTGTTGTAAGCTAGGACGGGCCTGTTCAAACAGCACCGTTTAGATAGCTGGATTAAAGGTAGGTTTGCATCTGAACCAAGTGCAGACTAGTTAAAATACAAACAGCCTTCCCTCTTTGCGGGCCTCGACCCTAGTCTCTTTCTAACTTTGACAGGCCTTCATCTTTACCATAGATGAAGCGAGCAAAACCATCGGCCCTGCTGCCAACTAATAGCACAAGTAGCTAAATGCCCAATTGCTCTGAATAAATGATATCTAAAGATTAAAATATTTTACTTACCAAATCGCTAACACACCAGTTGATAGCTACTCTGTGTGATGGGGACCAAGTGTCCGCAGTTTACACCACAAGCACAACGACGAAATACAGGTTTGCGTTGGCTAAGCTAAGCTAAGCTAGCTTGCGAGCTAGCAATGAGAAATCGTCACTCAAAATTCAATGCAATTGTGTGAATGCGGAGGTCCCTCTTTGCGTTCTCCCGTGATGTATTACATATTCTCAGCTGGCGAGCTAAAGGATACTCTAATTTCTGGTGTTTTGAGGGAGGGGGGAGGAAGCTTGGTGCGGACAAGCCAGGGGTAAGCTGAAACGACTGCCCCAGCCTCTCCACTTGACAGCTTGACAGCTAACGTTAGCTTCTAAGGAGCCACACACACAGGACCCGGATGTTACAGGCTGCGTATATTCGAAAACATGACATCATTCCAGAAGAGTTGTTGCTGCGCGCGCTGTGGCTGGCCGTCGCATTATTAAAGCGCACCTATTTTTTTATTAGATATTTTTAAAAGGTACTGTATCAGAATGACGTTTGTAGTAGTCAGAATTAAAAGAATAAGAAAGAATAAGAAGAAGAAAATGAAAAAGAGGAAGAAAACAAAATCAATGAACCAACTAGCCAAATTCATTTTTTACTGATATGAAGCACAAAACATTTTAGGTTTTCTCAAAGGGTTTATTTTTCTATAATTGCTTACAAACGAAATAAACAAACTGACGTTGTGTACAGGAACATCTGATATCCACTGGATATCACATATTATCCAGATGTTGCTGTAAACAAATACAAAATAGATAGATAGATAGATAGATTAGATAGATAGATAGATAGATAGATAGATAGATAGATAGATAGATAGATAGATAGATAGATAGATAGATAGATAGATAGATAGATAGATAGATAGATAGATAGATAGATAGATAGATAGATAGATAGATAGATAGATTTAGTTTCCAAACTTTTGTTTTGAAAGTCTTAAAGGGGAAGTGACGTTATTAGACATTAGCTGAAGCAGTAGCATTTCTCGTTTATGTTGCCATAATGTATGACTGAATCCTGTTACTTCAGCGACCCAGTTAAAACTGATTTAAAAATGGATTGGAGCATAACATGTATCCTGTGGTATTTCATACCATTTTATTTACTCGTTCACTTCGTGTGTTTTGTTTTTGCAGATGCAGATTTCACTCTGCTGTCGTCGTGTCTGATAGGACACAAACCAGGTGAGTGTGTGAAATTGGCATTTATTAAATCAACGAGGTACAAGAATAAAATAAAAGAACTTATTTTTTTGCGCATAAGTAAAGATCATCTAACTATGGCTGTGAAATTGTTTAACTGAAGTACAAGCATGATGTGTTGTGCAAGACTTTTGTGCAACAGTAACTGTCAAAGAGGGCCCATAACTTACATCAACGTTTTGTGTAGTAGTGACACATCTATAAAATGTAATATTTTAAATGATGTAAAGTAAGATTTGAGTGAATAACAGTAGCAATATAGTTTAGCATTTTTCTTTTATTTACATTTTACACAAACTCCCAACTTTCTCACATTTAAGGCTGAAAGTAAATTGGCTGCAATCACATATGACTATTCCTGCAGGCCAGCAGATAATCTGGCAAGTCACTACAGGAAAGTCACAGAAAAATGTCATGAAATTAATGATGCATGCTGTAATTTGTTAACCAGAAACCAAGCTGAAAGGCTTGGTGGTGTGGGTCACTGGAGCCTCCAGTGGAATTGGAGAAGAGCTCGCCTATCAGCTGGCGAAGTGTGGCTCACGTCTCATCCTGTCTGCTCGCCGCGAGGAGGAACTGAAGAGAGTAAAACGTCATTGTTTAGGTAAGATTTTTTTGTTGTTGTTGTTTAAAGCTGTGTATAGCTTCACCAAATGAAATTTTACTTAAACTTTGCAAACRTTATCCCCAATTATTCAGTCAGTACAAGTCCAATACTGCAGTAATTGTGTTTTTATTGTCACTCAGCTGTAATCAAACAAATTTATTTTGTTGTTTGATTTTGTTCTTCAAGAGAATTCCAACCTTAAGGACGAGGATATTCTTGTTCTTCCGCTTGATTTGCTTGAGAGGACATCACATGAGGAAAAAACAAACACTGTGATTCAGTACTTTGGGCATGTAAGACTTTGCCATTTGTTTGACTGAATGGACAAAACACTTTTTTTTTCATTTTGTTCTAAAGTATTAGCCATTTGTAGAGATAATTTGAAATAATGAAATTGCTTTAAATGTTTATTTTTTGCACTCATCAGATTGATGTCCTGATTAATAACGGTGGTCGAAGTCAGCGCTCTCTGTTCTTGGAGACCAGTGTCGAGGTGTACGAGGCACTGATGGAGCTCAACTTCCTTGGTACGGTCTCCATGACCAAACAGGTGCTCCCGCATATGACACAGAGGGGCAGAGGGAGTATTGTGACGGTCAGCAGTGCAGTTGGCCTCATTGGGGCACCCCTGTCAACGGGATACTCTGCAAGCAAGCATGCTCTTCAGGTGAACAAATTTCATCAATTTATTTCATTTAGATTTGCATAGAAGGAAGAAGATATGGTATATTTGATTTTCACGTATTTACTATATGTAAGCAAGAACAATGAATAGTTTAGGGCCTAAGTGTAACTGTATTATCCATAGGGTTTCTTCAATTCCCTTCGAGCTGAGCTGACAGACTTTCCAAAAATACTCATAAGCACAGTGTGTCCAGGGCCGGTTCAGTCTCTGATTGTCCACAATGCCTTCACAGAGGACCTGAACAAGGTATGAAATTCAAATTGTTTTGGGTCTTCTCAGATTGTTTCCTTTTACCCTATTTTGTTTTCAGTAAGTGATTTTTCCTTTGTAAAGCCGATGGCCATAGTCGGCAGCCAGGGCTACAAGATGCCGACGAGTCGCTGTGTGCGTTTAATGCTGGTGGGAATGGCCAACGGTGTGAAGGAAATGTGGATTGCTCAGCAGCCCTTCCTCCTGATTTACTACTTGTGGCAGTATGCACCCACGTTTGCTTGGGTCATCACAGACCTGATAGGCAGGAAACGGGTGCAAAACTTTAAATCTGGTGTGGTAAGTTTTTTGATCTCTTTGTGTACAAAGTTTACAAGGCAAATTACTTGTTTGTGCCAAGATGAGCATTTTTTTCAACCAGTATTTTATAATAATGTGCAGATATTTTAGGGCTGTTTTGGCCTTGTAGTGAACTGTAGTTGGGGTGTTTTTATTGTGCGAATTGACTGAGAACTACTTGGATAAAAGGAGAACATAGCAGAACTGCCTCCTAATAGCTGAAGGGTCTCAGCTGTGGTAAGAGAACGACATTGAGATTTTTTCACAGTGCTGAATGAGTGGCCATAGTCTGGTGGCCACTGCTGGATGGCGACAGCTGAGGGCCACGTAGGAAGGTCATGTTGCTACTGGTCAAACACTGTGGCATCACATGCTTTAGAGAAATCTGAGGCATGAAAATAGAAAAAAGCATGTAAAACCCTATCAAATCAAGCAGTATTCCTCAACAAAACTGTCTCTGTAGTTAAAGTGATGTCAGGGTCAAGCTTGTGGCCACAGCACAATTTCTGGAGAGTTAAAAATCTCTCATTCATTTCTCATCCTTGAATAAAAAAAAGATTTTGATTTTGTTTACCTTAGTACTAAATCAGAGCTGACAACTTGTCTTTTTCTGTTGCAGGATGCAGACTCTGCATACTTCACGAAACCAAAGACCTCCTGAAAGTTTCTTAAAAAATCTTTGATTGCATTCCCAGCTTTAAATGTTTTCTACTTTTTGGACAGAAAGATTTAAGAGTGAATGAGAACTTGTTTGCAATCTGTGCAATATTTCCATCTCAAATGTAAATTAACTTTTCTTTAATCCAAATTTTTACTTCTTATGCTCAACTTTTAATTGCACGCAAGGACTGCAAGACTATATGTACAAAAATCATGCTTTTGTACTGACCTTTTGCATAATAAAATTTAATTTTGATCAGTTTTTTTGCCCACCTGTAAAATAATATGGAACATTTATTTTTGCCAACATATTTTATTACAAGTATATACAGTTACACATATAAAAATTAACAATATGTACAAGAATCTGTGGACATTCATTTAACTCCTTAACTGTAAACAACTGAAATGTAAACAAAACAATAGCACTAAACATCGTACACAGAGCAAGATGTACTCAAGGCACATCCTCGATATCTTTAACAAAACATTCAGTTTCTTGTACCTTTTTTGTGAACATGGAAATGAACTTTTGAAAAGTGTGAAACTTAAAAAAATGCAATAAAAATAGATTTCATAAGGTTTTAATATAAATGAAATGGCTTTAAGTTTAACATGATTTTTATGGTGACACAATATTTGCTGAAACTTCTTCAGAAATCAAGTATTTAATTTTTGGGTGTCTGAAGAAGCAGACCATTGTAACAATTAAAATGGGTCAAATTCTGAAATGTGTTAAATAGTCACTGCTCTTTCCTCTACAGTTTATGAAATAAAGCACCAAAAAGTATTAAAAAACAATCTGGATTTCCATATAGACAAGACTCACAACTTCCGAATCAAAAATTTTAGAAAGGATAACWCAAACATTTAAGTATTTTTTTTCCTGGCTATTACCAAATGTAAAGAAACCATTTCCTTCTCTGTAATTTGTAAAAAGGGCCACAGATCAGAGGCAGGGAAAGTGAAGTGGGGGCGATGAATAAATGGGGTACCCTAGAGGGGGATCAGCTGCCTGAACAGTCAAATTTCGAAGCATGAATGGGTGAGCCTGAATGCTGTACCGCTCTTCGTCGTCATTAGTAGCATATAAGAGTTCCCAGGAAAGGTTTGCCCACTGACCACGAACGCCCTCTCCATTCAGACGGCCCACCTGTATTAGCTGGTCCTGTAGGGACAGCACTCGCCCTGTGTAGGTACCCTGTAAGGAAAAAAAAGTGTCAACATTTTACCAAAACTTAAACGTAAAAACTACAAACTGAACATCAATTTAATACGAGCAAACAAATAAGATTGCAGGTAAGGAGAAACCATAACATACAAATGAAGACTAAAATGTTCAATTACCATTGTGAGATCATGTCCCAGAGAGAATAAGAAGGGCTTCTCTTGAAGAACACTGTCATGCCAGCCTTTTTCTGTCACCAAGCCAATGTACCAGTCCCTTTCATATTCCTCTAAAGTGCTGAACAACTCCTCAGGGGACTCCATTGGTCCGAGGCTTGCCTGATCAAATAGCAGCTTGAAACTAAACCTGAAGGCAAATTGAAAGTGTTGAAATATTCTTATGGATGCTCTGGCACAATAGAAATATTCAATAACCAAAATACAGAGAACCTGAACAGAACTTTTACCTGAATGCCTGGAGAGTGAGCTGGTAAAGTTCTTTACTCGAGGAAAGCCAGTCGAGTCCTTCGGTCCATGGTACATCTCCACAATACAGCCTGTAGATGTAACTAGGACTGGTGAAAGAAGACTCTGCCCCCACAGAGATGAGACATGAAAGTGCAACCTTAACATGTAGTTCTTTCAGGACCTCATCTTCCTTTAGGGCTTTGGTCATGTCCACTGAAGTCTCACCCTGCACAGCTTGCCCAAAGCGCCCCAAGGTAAACCGAAACCACTCCTCTGGAAATAAAGGTCTAAGCGAGAGCAAGCGAGATGGGAGTAATGGTGCTGTCCTCCACCCTGGTGGTAGGTTAAACACTTCAGACTGGGGACAGCTTAGGTTCAGATGGGGGCTTTCTCTGAGGACCTCTGGGTTTCGGCCTTTATCTACAGCTGGCATTCCAATGCTGAGTCCAAGAGGCTGCAGTGGTTGCAGGGCGGAGAGAGCCATGTTTTCAAAAAGACTATCCATTTCCACTGAGCCTGGCAGAGAGGCCCCAATCTGCAGGGTTGAGTGTCCAGGTTGGGCCTCTGCGGTGACTAAAGCCACTGTCCGTCTGGCTGGTTGTGGTCCAAATAAGTCATCCTCATCTGACCAATCTCCAAAAGAAGTCAAACTAGAGCTATCCTGTCTGAGCCTGTAAGAAGACACGTTGGATTCAACCTTAATGGCCTCAGATGGCTGGTTACAAGTTGTTTGAGCAAACTGTGAAGACTGGGACTTGATGACTCCACTCAATGATGCCTCTTCACCGCTCCATAAAAATCCTCTATGCCTCTGCACACAATACCGCAGGAGCAACCAGATCAGAGCTTTCATGAAGTCGTCTTGAAGTTTCCTCAAGTTTTCATGAGAGTCGATGATGCCGGAGAGGACGTTTCGGGCATCAGAATAGACTCGTACGGCAACTGCGGTGCAAGGGGTGAGGGCGTTTCCCCAGTGCAGGTTAAAGCCCTGCGTGAAGCCAAGCCGCTCGGGTTGTTCGAAAGCAGCCTCAAACACTTCATCCACCCGCCGCGCCTCCACCGTGTGGCAAGATGTCTCCTGCAGCTCCAGACCCTGTAACAAACCACAACACTTTACAGAATATCATTTTGCTATTAAGTGGCTGAAGAAGAGTTTTGAAACACAAGACAAAAGGACTGAATGACATAGTACCTTAACATTGACAGTACAGTAGCCATATCCTCTCTCCAGAATCATGATCCAAACCATACGGTCCTGAAAACGTCCAAGGAAATGAGAGCCTGGGGCTAAAGAACCTGCAAATACAAAGAATGTTGCAAGATATCAATGCATCTTTGGCATAATAAGGTATGATAAATAAAGTCAACAAAGACTTGCTTGTCCCTCTGCAGAAGACAACATATTTACAGAATGAGCTACTTTAAGATGTGTATTATCCCATCATAAATAATTCTGTTCTAAACAATAAAACATTTTTTTCTTGTTTTTTCTACTGTCTCAAAGGCTTTTGTCCTTAGGCATTTCACCTTTGGAGACAGAAAGCAGACTTTTATTTCAGATCAGATCTGCAGCTGTGGCAAGGTGAAGGAGGTTTTCGTTTTACTATGACTAGTGCTTACGTGGCTCAAGGATAAAGCTGCGTCCCATAATCACATCTCAGAATAGTTCCATCCGCTACCTCAAGATGTAAAGTGACAGATTGGGCAGATTACTTTCCTGCTCACTGCTCCATGGCCTCCAGTGTGAGTACAGCAAAAGAATGCTCCAAACTGCCATCATTTGACTGTGAGCATCGACCTAACAAGTGACTTCTCTAAATAAAACATGATAGCTACAGCCTCCAAAGCTTACACTAAAGATTTAACGATTATGTCACCTCTGCATTTTTATCCAGTTTTGACTCACTAATTTTTGAAAAAAGGGTTTGATTTTTTTTTTACCTTTTTTTTTAATCTCTTGCACATCAAGCTCAAAACAAAATCCAAGCAGCAGAACAGTTTACCCTCGGAGTATTATGCAGTTAATGTTGTGGAAACATTTGGATGTAATGAATACAGATCTGAGCTTTTTTTTGGGGTCACTTCACAGGAAGCTCAACTCGATGATGTAAGCTTGCACTACTGCCAGGACTCCAAAAATGCTTCTCACAACAGCGTTTTTTAAAATGTTTTTCTTTCCTTTTTTTTTTACTATTTAACCACATGAGGTGAAGCTTCAGTGCTCTTTCATCTGCAGAAAGTCCCCACTTGACCCATAGGAAAGTTAGATCACTGCTATTACAGGAGAAGTAAAAACAATGTTGCAAAAATACATTTTCTACTTTATTTTACAAGCTCTGTTAGTAACTATTATGTGCACTTATCTGACTGGTATTTGTGCTAAAGTGGAAGGTAAAAAGCACAGTAAAATGAAGAGAAATACCACATAGCCTGTAAATAACTTAAATACCTATGACTCTCTAAGAGTTTAGATCCTCGAGTTTCTCTTAATTTAATTTTATGGCTTAAAACAACTGAAAACAAAATTGGCTCTCCTATTTCAATCCAAAAACACACAAACAAAAAATACAAAGATAGTTTGGCACCAGCCTTATGATTTTTTTTCTTTACAAGATAAATTAATCTGTAGAAACAAAAAAAAAAAATCACAGTAACCCACTAACCGAGTGATCCTCTTGTAAAGGCTGTCCTTAATGCCGAGGCCAGACTTCCACTCATTTGCTGGTAGAAAATCGAGTCTGGGCAGGGACACGCAGTGCCCACAGGACCAGGCCAACTGCGCTGAGGCCTGGGAAAGCCCACAAGAAAGATAGGCAAAGTGAAGAGGGGCAGCAAAGGGGCAGAGAGCAGGGCAGAGAGGGTCACCACTGCCAACACCAGCGGCCACAGCGATGCGTTCAGAACCACGAGCGTTCCAGCCGACTGACGACGCTGCTTCTTTTCTGTCCAAGATGTCACCAACACAGTGAGGGTAAACTTTAGTTTGGCCAGGAACTGGCTCAGCCTGTCAATCAGAAGGCCCACCTGGATCCGAAACAAAGATGAGTTTAACTGATCAACTGATGCTGGTAAATTTATATGTTAATGAGTGGAAATAACAGATTTATATTGAGCTCACAAGGAGAAGCTGAACTCCAGTTCCTAAGTTGTCCCATCCTGGCAGCAAATTGCTCCCTCCTGCAAGCCGCACTAAGATCACTATTACCATCTGCAACAGGGCATCCTCTGAGCTCTGCCACACCTGCAAGAAAAAAAAAACAACTCATGAAATAACATGTTTTTGTTAAAGGGGGAGGGGCATTAAGTATTTTCCTGGCACATAGTTCTATTCTATACCACAATCAAGAAACTATGTAACTTTCAGTTATGAAAATATTGTATATTTCAAAAATAAATTGGACTTTGCATCATATCTAAACTCCTTGAAATTAGCCTCTGTCTCTTTAAGAACCTCCTACTGTCTGACACTCCCACTTTAGCACATTTTTTTTAAAGGAGGGGTGCTCTGTGTGGCGGGAGCTCCACTGCAGACTGAGCTTCAGGGAGGAGCTTTGTACATATAGGTGGTGCTTTGCACCTGCAAACATTTAAGCAGCTCCACATGGCTACCACAGGAGATCCAAGGATTTCTCAAACATGCATGAATGAGTCAAAGCAACACTCTGGGTATGTTTTTTGATGAGAGAATGATACTATAACATGATATAAAACTAAAAAAAAGTCAATTTTGCATAATACGCCCCCCCCCCCTTTAATAAATAAAAAGTAAGTTCTCTGGCACACTTTTCTATTAAATATAATATTTGTTTTTAGCTGGACTCACTGAGAATCTGCCACAAATCTAAACAAACAAACAATGTTAGAGATACTCTGAATGCTATGTTTAGATATGTATTTGAAGTGTGTATACCACTCTAAAGGCTCGTGTGAATCCCACACTGATGGAGACCCTGTGTAGTGACTGCAGAGACATGTCCATGGACAGAAAAGCAATCATTGCAAATGGAGTCACTGTGAAGAAAATCAAACAGCAGGTACTGGTCAGTCACATTTACACATAGAGGTTTCATTTATAGCTATTTCTATACCTTAAAATTCAAAAGCATAAAAAACGATAATAAAAAAAAAACAGTACAATCTTACCAAAATAAAGAAGGAGTCTTCGGATTGCTGCAGCTATATACAACCCTCGATTCTTTTGCTGAAAAGCTTGATTATTAGACATTCCTTTAGGGTAAAGGGGATTAAGAAACATTCCTCCCAACAAATACACCCCCTGGATCTCTCTTAGAGTGCAGCAGAGAAAGAAGAGTATGATGAGGAGGTAGCTGACAGGTCCTTGGGGTCCTGTAACCATGTTCTGAGTCTGAGCTGAACCAAAGAAGTGATGCAACAGTCCCGCCTCTGCCATCGCTACCAGCAGTAGACTTAAATACACCAGAATCTCCCTGCAGCCTAAATTCCAACCAAAGGAATTAGGGAGAAAGGGTGGCAACCCTCCACTGTGTAATCCATGGTTCTTGAAGGCTGCTCTAGGACCTTTGCAGAGCGTGCCAACTTGGCTGAGGTCTAGGCTCAGAAGAAATCCAGTAGAGATGGAGAAGAGAACCACACCCAGTGCTGATGGGATTAAATAATTACARACAGCTACGCTGGTGGATACAGCAAACATCAAGAGCAGCCTGTTGGACAAAACATATACAAAGATTTTAAACTGATTGAAAAAATACTGTCAGACTTCTCAGTTTAGTCTAACAAGACTAATATGAGTTATTATCACAAAATGACAAAGATTAAGACTTGTGTCAGGTGCTAAATTGTAACATACCTGATGTTACTCGACATGGGTGAGCCTCCTAAGCCAAACACAAGAACCTGCTCCATGCCCCAGAGGAGCAGGGCATCCAGAGGGGGCAGCACACCCAGCGCCCACAGCAGAGGAAGGAAAAGGAAAAGCACATGAAGAATCTGGCTGGCCAGCTGAAGCTCAGGTACAGGGCTGGAAAACCTACACACCAGCAAAACATTTGTATTATTACAGCAGAGGACAAGTTTTTCTTAAAGTAACCCGTTTTGTTGATACTCACCTATTAACCATATCCACGGCAATGAAAATAGAAATATAAAGTGGACGAGTAAGTGGGGTGATCTCATAAGTGTCCTGTGCCTGGAAAGTGGCCGTCTCTGTAGCTGTATTTACAATAAGGGAATACTCAGCTATACACAGAGTCACCCAACTAAGAACAAAGACTACAAGGGATACTCCAATGCTGTCATAGAGAGCTGTCAGTCTTCCCAGGAACACATACCAAGTCCCAAAGCCACAGAGAACTCCAGCTAAAATTGTATGTAGCACCACATTGAGGCCGAACCGCTTCCCTGGAGCAATGAATCGAAGTGTCTCCGGGCTAACGCAGTTAGTAAATTCCACTTCCTCTTCATCAACCAGAATATTGGGTGTGCCAAGTCTCTCCACYGCGCCACTTCTACGAGCAGCATACAGCGCCAGGGCCTGGACACCTGCCGCAGCCGCAAACATAAGCATCCCGGAAAGAATGGCAGCATGGAGCTCCTGAAGCAGCTGCAGCTGGCAGAGCAGAGTGCCAACACCCCCAAAAAGCCATGGAGTCAAGAACAAGACTGCTTGGTTGACATACACATATGGCGGGGCACAGTAACCTAACTTAAAGCGTGGACCTCCCAACACTGTCTGAGGAAAGCGCTTCCAGAAGAATTCTTGTTTGTACTCATTAAGAAGGGGCACATCTGGCCCCATTCTGACCATTCCAGAAAGGGTGGCAGGTCATCTCCACGTAGCCGAAAAAGCAGGGCTTCCATTCATCGTCACAGGCATAGAGGAGGACTCTGTAAAGGACAAGCAAACAAGGTTTAAAAAAAAAAACAAGATTAAGAGAAGAAATGTTTTAACACTGGCAAACTGCAAGGATCTTAAGGGTTTAGCTTTGCAATTAAATCCAGTTAAAAAATTGGATCATTTATTGTAGAGCTCAAAGTCAAAGCAGCAAATATCACATGGAAAATGGCAGCCAGATGAAATAATAAATACAAAAATATAATGTAAGTCTAGGGTGTCCAAAGRTACAGAAGTGGTCTGTGAACAGTAGATGCCAGAAAAAACAACAAAGCATGTTTAACAATACAAACATCCTTTGGCAAAGTTTTCAATTCACAGTTTTCCAGCAGTTCACTGCATAAAAAGTGTTTTTTAAAGTCTTAATTKAAGGTAAGTAATTTAAATAATCCTGGGTTCTCCGACTTGGATGTGCCTGCACTCTAAATAAAAACTGAACTTTACAATATTGTTAGTGTTACCTGTTAACTGTTCACTGTAAACAGCTGCATACAACGTTTTTCACATGTGTGTTGTCACACTGAATAAACTAATTCATAAAACAACTCATATACTGAGGGCCAGGCATTGTTAACTCTCGGTAAAAAAAAAAAAAAAAATCTTGAATGCATGCATTTGACAAAATAATTATGAATACCGTTATGTGYACCACGTAGAAATACTGTTGCCAGGAGAAACAACACAGCAACAAGGCTTGATTGTGGCTGCGTTAAGAGCTCAAGCTAACTCTAACATTGTCTGGGGGGRAAAACTTACCTAATGTAAATAAACCGAGATATTTAAAAAATGTATTCACAGTTGTTTATGCCTCTGATAATAGCAGACACTCTGCTATCAGCTAACGAACAAACACTGAAAAGCAGCTTCACTTTTAGCTTACCTCTTTGGATGAGCTTACCGTGTACAGCTGGATGACTTACAGGAGATCGTTTTTTGTGTTCCTGACGACGTATTTGAGAATATTTGTTTTACAGAAAAACAGCTCGGAATTTTCAAGATTAACTATTAGCTGCTGGCTAACCGCTAGAAAGCTAGGAGTCGCTGGGACGATGCACAGGTTGTGACCAATCAGAGAGAAGTAGACAAAAAAGAACATTCTGATTGGCTCACGTTCAATTAATCCCGCCCTTTATACCATATAAACCTGCCTGTCAAACAAACAAGCAGAACACAAATCCGAGTTTGTCATTTGCTCAAAAACGAAATACTAAATTAATTTGGATTGTAAAAATGATCAAATTCCCTCAAAGTGTAACTACACAAAAAACTGTTGCAAGTTAACTATAGCAAAAAATGAATAAAATAAAATAAAGTGTAAATTTAAATGTGAATATTTCAAATAGGCGCACAACTTTATGCAGTTAAAAATAACATTAGTCAGTTTTATCAGTACATGAAAGCATTTTGGATTGCAGCTGTCAAATCCTGTGAGTGGGAATCACACAAAGCATACCTACTAATGGATAAAGCTGATACTCGATAATATTGTCACCTGTAAGCAGATACACACATATAATTTTCTTACAAAGATAATAAAGAACAATGAAACTTTATCACTATTTACATTTATAATAACGTCAGCTATGGCCAACTATTGTTTTTTTGTTTTCTTTATCTTAAAAAAAGGCAAAATAGCCCTTCGACAGTCTTTTTGGATCCTGAATTTATGAATTTTTTTCTATGCCCAAAACAAACAGATTTAGGAATATTGCATTCTAAAATGTTCTGTGTTTCACTAACAAAAAKACAAATTTTACAAAAAACATAACATCTTAATTGAATTAAAATTGTTCTGTGCTTATTTAATTTGAAAAGAGGGCAAAAGCAGGGTTTATGCAGCGATAACTACAAAGGCTACAATAAAAAAGCTATCAGTATGGAGTAAAGGAGATTGTTCATTGGGACTGAGCAGGAAGGCGGGAGGTTTTGTTTTCTTGTCATCCTGAAAAGCAATTTCTACTTGGTATGGCACACAATAAACCATTACAATAGAAACACTTGTCAGTCATGACAACGTATTGTGGATTGTAATCCTCCCGTACAAGAGTTTTAAAAAACATAACACTTTTGTCTTCAAAGAAAAAAAATAGTTCAAATCTAATGATACATTAAAAGCTGAAGGCAAATTGCCCAAAACCCTATCATTTGACAAAGTAGTAAAAAAAATCAATTCTGTTAAATTTGCAAAAGGGTATTTGTCAATTGTTTTTCTGTTAACTTTTTTGTCCCTATTTCAAACAGACAATGCACTTTGTGTGATTGAAATAATGTGATGAATGACACAAGTTCAACAGTGCAATAAACAGCACGCAAGGACAGAAATGAAAAGTAGTTTAGATTTTATTTTTCTATGAGGTTTGCTCTCATCCAAAATGTCTACACAAAATACAAGCATTTTCCTTTTCATCCTAATTGTCCGTCTCCAGTCGCTCTTTATTCCACAGGAAACAAATTACAGGAAAATGACAGGCGACAGCAATAATTCAATGACAGACTTCAAAAGAAGCAATATGGCAAAACAGGATGTATTTGTGAGAATAAACTTAGGGCATAATATGTAGCTTTCAGAGACAAAACAATTTAGATTTTGTTGATGACTTGCAGAGGATCAGCAGCAGCCAAACAATTCCTTTTACAAGTGATGATGACATTGTGGCCTCTATCAAMGTGCTTGTATAGTAGAAAATAAAGATGCCCATTGCACATGCAGCACTATAAGGATTGCACAATAATAAGTGTTAACTTTATCACCAGATTTAGTGTTGTTACACCTCTTATTCACTCCTAAAACTGGAACCTGAGCACATAGCAATGAAAACATGCTCTGTTCAGCAATTACTCACAGAGTCTTGAACTAATGGTAGTCTGAATGCACAGACACAGCAAATGCAGAGAGTTATTGGACCAGCAGTAATGACCCCATACAGCGCATGTGTTTCTTAGTATGTGTGTGTTGTGAGAAGTCTACCAGGGGAGAGGAGCATCATCTATAACTGATTTGCAACAGCCACAAACATCTCTAATTATAAATCTAGATTACAAGTGTAGAGACTGACTCGCTTCCCCCTCACGCTGTCTCGTCTTCTCCCTTTCGGTCCCTGCTGCCCGAGCCACGCTCCATATCAGGCCGATGAAAACATAACCTGTCACATTCCATCCCATTAAACCAGCTACGAGCCATGTGGTTCACTCACGTGGCGGAAAAAGGAGAGGGAGGAAGACACAGAGAGCAGTGCATCTTGGTTCACTCAAAGGTGATGAATTATTCACATTTTTTTATGCTAATGTCATTTTTAATGTAAGAAATACTGACAGATAAGCAGACATGCAACATAGTGGTATGTTCACTATAAGCTTACATCTCCCACAACAGAATTAGAAGTAGTTATATTTATAACATCCATGGCGCACATACTGTACACAAATATGGAATGTGTAATTATCCCCTGCAATACCTAATGCATTAGAGCACTCACACTGAGCCCCCAAATCTGTGTCCTGAGTCCATCAGCTGCCATTTGATGTCAGGCAGAGAAAGGTAATGGCAGTGCACTCACTTGCGAAGTCATTAGCCCCGTTAATGCTGGGAATTAAAACAAATTAAGTGAAGTTAAGTACATGCATTAGAGAAGCTTGTTTGAGGAGAGCTTTTTATTTTTCCTGCGTGGAGCTGGCTGTGGCCTTGGACTTTGAGCGAGGGCAGGGGATACAAAACTGAAGTACACACGTCCCCTTCCAACTGATGAATTACTACCTACAGAGGAGGAGAAAAAAATATTTGGAGCTCATTAGCAGTGTTAATGGAGCTCTAAGGACACCTAGTGGTCATGTTAACAACACTAATCAGCAGATGCAGCATGACGTTCATCAAAATTCTGTGGCCTTTTCAATGTATGCTGGTAAAATTACAGAATGCATCAAAACTGACCCCCACACAGTGAAATTTAGACAGTTTTGTTGTTTGTTAGATCAAAATCAATATCTTACCATCTGGGCTATATTATGAGTTCATGAGAACAAAATATATGGAATGACTGGGCTGGAGATTATATTAATTACAGGATTACAAGACTAAACTAAAAGGAAAACATGTAAGTTTATATTGGTTTATCATCAATTTACATCCGGTTACGACTCCCATGATTTGCCCGTTAAAGACAAAACTGCTGTTGGCTTTCCGAAAAGAGGCTAACACGATGAAACCGACAATCTCTGCAATCCATTTGGACCTCGTTCAAGATTACATCTTTATCTGAGTGACTGCAGATTATTGTCCACAGAGAGGTGTTCTAAAGCTGGATTATCCACTTGTTGGGGATGCATTTGACCCGATGGATGAGGCATGCCAGCTTCACACACTCATACATCTGTGAGTGCCCCCCCCACACCGGTTGTTTAGGGCAAAGGATGGGAAAGCGGTTGAAATGACACCAATACCTCTCATCCTCAGATTACCATGGTTAGTGATCCACATATGTAGAGAGAAAATGGAGTCGCAGTCATTATAAATGCTCTGACAGGAATGGATTGCGTGCCGGCATCAAGCTGCCTAATATAGACTGAAAGCCATTTAAGTTTAAACTATGTTATATTTCAAAGAGCGACACATTCTCTTTAGTAATAATCTGCTTAAACTCAAATACATACTGTCCTGTCAAAAAACAAACAGTAGCCATTAAGACTAACCCACAGAAATAGCATTCTGCCTTTACAAATTGATATTTTGTCACATACAGAATGTGACTGAATCAAATCATAACTGATGGGAATTGACTGTAATTGGATTTGAATCAGAATCTGTTTGAAAGAAATGTGTGGGCCTCCCTGCTCAAGCTCCTGCCCCCGTGACCTAACTCCAGAACAAGTGGCAGATAATGGACGGATGGATGAACCGAATTACCGTGGATATTATAATGACATAATCAGTGGTGATGTGTGTTCTCACCTGTGGTTCTGATCTCACCCTGCTCCATCTCCTCCCACTGCTACATGGGTGGAGGTTTGCCACCATATGGGAATCTGGAAGACAATAAAATGCAGAAGCAGTGTTCTTGCAAATCTTAATAAATTTGTTTTTATTCCTAAATGTTGTAAAATGGCACAATGGTTAATGTGTTTAATATTTGTTATTTAACAACCTGCAATCTTGCTCCTTTTTGGAAAAGGCATTGGCATTTCTGTTCTCATTAGATGGAGCTCCCATTGTTGGCAGGTTGATTCCTGTGTTTCGGCTTGGTCTGAAGTTAATGATTGGTTGACTGATTTGAGAAATATTACTGTTCTTATGCATCTTGTCTAGAATAGAGATCAATATATAATGAGTGTCAGAAGTCTTCATATCAACTTAAAATAGCATTTACGTRCCAAAAAACATCTATTTTCAGCTTAGTATTTTCATTATTAAACTTATATCTTTAGCAGCAGGAGTGTTGCACTCACATTTGTCTGTGTATTGCTTCTCATCTGCGTTTACTGTCTGGGTATCATGCATCCAATTTGGTAATCCTCCATATAAACGTATTCCTCTTATCAGTCCAGGCAAGTTAATTTCAGTGGTAGAGAGAGATGATCCAGGGTGCTGATAGCTTTCCAGCTTAAAAGCAAACGAGAGTATGGACAACACAGAGAGAGAATAGGCAAGAGTCAAAATAATATACGTAAAATGATCTCTATAATGTCTCCAGCTTAAAGTCTGACCTCACAAACGTTTGCATCCTGATTATTATTTATTTATTTTCCTCCTATGTCAGTCACAGTCAGAGCAATGTTTCCCCTCCACCCACACATTTGGCAGAGGATCGGTGATTAGATTGCTTGTTGTTCCACATATATAAGCATCTTATAGGAGAGCAGTAATTACTACTCATCACGAACGATGTTTCAATTCAAGAAAAAGCATTTTCAGGCAAAGAATGAGGGGGACAACTGGCTTTCACAAGAGAAGATAAAGAGAGGTCCGCTTGTTTAATGAGAAACAAGATCTCAGTTCTGTCATTTCCATATCAACGATTAACAAGCAGAGGGGGTCGTTTTGACCTGGCTAATACGTGGTAAATCCACTGGTGCATTATCGGCCGGGCACATTTCATCTAATCAGCAGGATGATGCAAGCAGGCTTACTGCTTTTAATTCAGAGCTGCAGCAGCATTACAGCCCCACTTTCTCATTTCATGAATATCTATCTAAACTGAAATAGTTTGATGCAGGATTTGCCCTTTTTTGGTAACTGTAGTTTGGAATTAGATTTTTTTTCTCTCAGTTTTGCGAAAAGTCCTTTTTCATGAGTGAAACTGTGGCAAACCTTACACCTAATGGTGTGAAACCCCAATTCCAATAAAGATGGGACATTGTGTAAAACATAAATAAAAACAGAATATGATGGTTTGCAAATCCTTTTCAACCTATATTCAACTGAATACACTACAAAGACAGGATATTTAATGTTCAAACAGGTAAACTTTATTGGGTTTTATACAAATATTCACTCATTTTTTTCATGCCTGCAACACGTTCCAAAAAGCTGGGACAGGAGCATGTTTACCACTGTGTTACTTCAGCTTTGACAACACTCAAGTTTGGGAACTGAGGACACTAATTGTTGAAGCTTTGTAGCTGCAATTCTTTTGCATTCTTGCTCGATGAACAACTTCAGTTGCTCCAGGGTCCAGGATCTCTCCATAATGCGCCACACATTTTCAATGGGAGACAAGTCTGGACTGCCGGCAGACCAGTCTAGTACCCGCACTCACGAAGCCACGTTGTAACACGTGCAGAATGTGGCTCGGCATTGTCTTGCTGAATTAAGCAGGGTGTCCATGAAGAAGCTGTGGCTGATGTGCCTGTTACCCATGCCATGGGCACTACACCCCAATACCATCAGAGATGCTGGCTTGAACTTTGCGCTGATAACAGTCTTTCTTCTCTTTGGCCTGGAAGACATGACGTCCATGATTTCCAACAATTGAAATGTGGACTCCTCACGCTACAGGATATTTTTCCACTTTGCGTCAGTCCATCTCAGATGAGCTCAGACCAGAGAAGCCGTCTGCATTTCTAGGTGTTGATATTGGCTTTATGTTTGCATGATAAAGTTTTAACACTTTGCACTTGTAGATATAGAGACGAACTGTGTTCACTGACACTGGTTTTCTGAAGTGTTCCTGAGCTCATGTGCTAATATCTGTTACAGAATTATGGTTTTTAATGCAATGCCACCTGAGGGATGGAAGGTTACAGGCTTTCAGTGTTGGTTTTCAGCCGTGCCTCTTACTTGCAGAGATTTGTCCAGATTCTGGACTGTTGATAGAATCCCCAAACTGTACGTTGGGAAATGTTGTTCTTAAACTGTTGGACTATCTGCTCATGTAGTTGTTCACAAAGTGGTGAACCTCGCCCCATCCTTACTTGTGAATGACTGAGCCTTTCAGGGATGCTCCCTTTATACCCAGTTATAACACTTGTTTCTAACAGACCTGTTCACCTGCAGAATTCTCAAAACAGGTGTTTTTTGAGCATTCCTCAACTTTCCTAGTCTTTTGTTTCACCTGTCTCAGCTTTTATGGAACATGTTGCAG